AGAGTGACCCTGGGTAAGAGTGACCTTTGGTGCGCGACTTTTGGGGGGTCGCGGGGGGACCAAACCTGGGCGCGCAAGCAGCTGCTACTGCTTCGTTTTCGGCCATCTGGGGACCCATCTGTGCCCGCACCAATGGTCACTCCGGCGAAAGGTCACTCTTACGTCTAGTCGACACGTTTCCAGCCGGAGCGAGCCGTGCGACAGCGCCCGGTGCGCAAAAGTCAGCACCGCCCAGATCTCAGGGTTTCCTCCTCCGAGTTTGCCCCCCTTTCCCCCCCCTCCTCCCTCCCTCCCCAAACCAGAATCGAACCGATGCGTCAAGCCTCCGCCTCGCAAGGGAGGAGAGCCCAGAATCGAATCGATACATCGGATCGGCGCTCGACATGAATCGGCTCGGCGGAGATCGGCAGCCACGTCGGGAGAAGTCGAATCTGCGGAGATCGGCAGGCTAGCAAGACCCCCCTTGAGAGACCGAAATCAAAACCGCATTCCGAAATCGAATCGAGTCGGAGTCGGAAGCCATCGACATCGAATCGAAAATCGAGACGGAGGAGTCGCAACGAGCCCCGCGGCCGTGGATTGCGCAGGGACCCGCCGCCCGGGCACCCCTCCGGGCCTGCCACGACATGCCCTGGGAACCAGAGACTTCTCCCTCTGCAGCAGAGGCACGGCCCTCGGCACACGAGCCCCACGGACTCAAAACGAGACGGCCTCGGCCCGCAGTGCGCCCCGCCGCGGGGGCTCCTGCCCCGCCGCTGGAGCCTCCAGCGCCCGCCGCCGCTGCTGCGCGGGCGAGGCGCCCCTGCGCGCCTCGCGGAAGACCGCCTGGCCCGCGCCGGGACGCCGGCGCGTCGCGACGACTGATGACGACGGCAGCCGCCCGGCGCCTGGCGACGACGACGACGCCGCCAACGACGACGACGACGACGCCGACCGGCGTCCGCCGACGCCGACGACGACGCCGACCAGCGTCCGACGATGGTGACGACGACGCCGACCACGACGACGCCGACCGGCGTCCGACGACGGCGACGCAAACGACGAAGACGACGACGAAAGACGACGACGACGACGACGACGACGACGACGACGACGACGACGACGACGACGACGGCGGCGACAACGCCAAACAACGACGGACGACGGCGCCAATCGACCTGGCTCGATGCTGGGCGGCGCCCAGCATCGAGCCGGGTCGAGCCGATCGGCACCCATCGGTCGGAAGGTCCTCACCTCCCCTCGTCGCGAAAACATCACGGCGAAGGGTTTTCGGCCTCTGGTGGCCTTCGCCAAGCACCGAGACAGTCAGAAACTATCCCGGACGAAAAGACGACCCTGGGAAAAGGGTCTTGACCTCAGGGGGCCCCGCACGAAAAAAAAACAAAACATCGGATGCCTGGGGGCAGAAACAAATATGAAGGCGTTGAAAGTAGATTGGGTTTCTGCCCGCCCCCCAAGCGATACGGAGATAGAAAAACCGTTCGACGATTGAAAATGGCAGGCGCCTGCAGCAAGTTGGAATCGGGGAATCCAACAATCCGCCGGCCCCCTTGCGGGGCCACCAGGCTGCGAAGACCGGTCTTCGGCAACGTAGGTACCTGTCCTGCGCTCCCAGTCACTGTTCCAGTGCAGCTTCCAGTTCCCAATCTGCAGTGCAACGGTTACGTATGCGTCTTGCGCTGCACTGTAAATTATTACTGTCCGCGCGAGGTGTGAAGCCGAAAACCACCCTGGTTACCGCAGTCTCCCTGGCTTCCAAGATTCCCCCCGGGGGGGGCCCTGGGACACATGAAGATAATTGAAATTCACGCCTTCGAGGCCATAATCCGCCTTGAATTATGCAGTGTTCGCACCCCCGAGGCCACGATCCCTCGTAAGTTACGCCAGATTTGCCCATCCACGGTCACGATCCTGTATGAAGGAAGTACACCAGGTTCACTTCCCCCGAAGCCGTAACCTTTCGTAAAGTACCCAAGACCCGTGCCCCCGAGACTACGACCATTTGCGAATTACGTCAGGCTCGCGTCCCCGAGGCCACGATCTCTTGTCAGAGTGAGGGGGCCGAAAGGTCATTCACTGTCCCTGGGTGTGTGGCTGAAGTGGGACTCCGCGGCGCGGATTCTGCTTGTTGTTGCGTTACGTTGTTATTGCCGTCGTCTCCCCCGCGACCCGGCCCGCGACCACCCGCGACCCGACCCGCGACCCGACCCGCGACCCACCCGCGACCCACCCGCGACCCACCCGCGACAGGCATGGGGACGGTAAGTTCGCGCGGCGTCGGCGCGCGCAAAGGTCTCTGACACCGTGTCCATCGTTCAACCTTGAACCGATCGCGGCACCGATCGTCCGTGGCATTGCCGTGCCCCTCGGTGCTCCCGCGTCGCTCCATCGTGCGGTGCTCCCGCGCGCCCCCGGGTGCGCAAGAGCGCGTTCGCCGGCGTCGCTGGCGCGCCCACGCCGCACGAAGCTGACGTCTGACTCGCAGGTCGATCGCCGCACACTGGCCCACCCAGCGGCCCCTCGGCCTTGAAGCTGCGCCTGCGGCTTGCCAGGTGGAGGTGCTGCTCCCGCTCCTGCCGGGGCGGGCCGCGTGCGAGCGGCTTCTGCTCCTCCTCCTCCTCCTCCTCCTCCTCCACCTCCTACTTCTCCTGCCTCCTCCTCCTCCTCCTCCTGCTCCTCCTCCTCCTCCTCCTACTCCTCCTGCCTCCTCCTCCTCCTCCTCCTCCTCCTCCTCTTCCTCCTCCTCCTCCTCCTCCTCCTCCCTCCTCCTCCTCCTCCTCCTCCTCCTCCACCTCCGGCACCTCCTCGCCTGCGCCTCCTTCTCCTCTTCCTGCCTCCTCCTCCTGTCTCCTCCTCCTGCCTCCCCCTCCTCCTCCTCCCTCCTCCTCCTACTCCTCCCCTCTCCTCCTCCTCCTTCCTCCTCCTCTTTTTCCTCCGCCTCCTCCTCCTCGGGATAAAAGATGTCCGCGGGGCACTAGCTGGCAGGCTGTTGTTCTGTTTGTTTGCGCTCTTGCCATAGTCAGGGTGGCTCAGAAGAGTCCCGCAAGGGACGACACGTTACCCGACGCTGACGAAGAGCTGCATCGACGTGCTGTGAGCGTCCAGTTTGGGTTTTCGTAAACTGATCGGGTGATTGTCCCCAAAGAATAGAACAATCAACAACTGCATACACATACACTTGCGGAGCTCCGCGCAGATCCCTTGGCTCTGCACTAGACCCCGTAGCGGCGCCTCCAGCGCCCCTGCGGCGCGTTCCGCGCGCCAGGTATGGGGGAGGGTGGCCAGCGCAGATTCAAGAACTCCGTACGGTCCCTCGGAAGCTTATGCGTATGCAGTGGATTGTTCTTCGAGAGAAGGACGCGCGTGCGAGTCAAGCCAGTCAGCAGGAAGGAAAAAGCTCCGAGAGGAACGGGGGCCCTGGAGTTCCTTCTCTTAGCTTTCGGGCCTACAGAGCCCTCCACGGGCCCCATGACCATCAAACTAATACCCAGGGTGAAGAATTATTTGGTTTTGGGGGGGGAAGCTTTTGATGTTGTTTTTCTTATTTTGTTTTCTCTCATGGCGGGTCAAAATACGACGTGACGATCCCTGCGCTTGTTTACTGCTACCGCGTCGAGCGCTCAACACCTTGAGCGACCGCGGCTTCCCCATGGAGCAAAAATCATTGGACGTCGGCCCGCTCTGGGCCGCACATGCCATACCGTCGGGGCGTTGACCTAAGAAACCCTAAACAAGGGACGAGGCCCCTTTTTCCCGTAAGTTCAACTTCGATTTCCCATGGGAAACAGCAGGGAAACATAAGGCAACCTGTAAAACAATCAAGGAGCACCGCGCCCCTCCCCAACGAAAAGGGTTCCTTCTTCAGCGCCCCGACTGTATGGGCTTCAACGTTTTCGTCATGTTCGCGCCAGGCTGCCTACCAGTAAAGCCAAGCCCTGCGGCCACGAGAGCGCTCCGAATGAAAAAGCTCTCACGCCCTCCCCAGTGTTCGCCCTCCGTGGTCGCATTGTGAAGCGAACCTCGTGCTTATCCATGTTCACTGCGCCACTTTTGTGACGTCCCCCTGTTCACGAGGCGTGAACTCAATGATCTGGCTACCTGGCAACGGGATCCGGCGCGCCGGTTCAACCATCTGTCTTCACACTTATGCTGCGAGCTCTCCGATGGGCCACGATGAGGAGGCGGTGGTGGCGAACGACGGGGATGATGAGCAGGAGGAGGAGCAGCATGGACAGGAGGACGAGCAGGATGAGGATCACCGTGGGCGTCTTCAATGATGGGGACGATGAGCAGACACCTGTGCCACATACGCGTTCAATGCATCGCCCCGCGTGCGACGGAACGGCTCGTCCGAGCTACGCGGGGCCTTTGGGCAAATGCCGAAACACAATTCGGCAGCTCTGGAGAGCCGTACTCAGAAGCCGTACTCTGGAAAGCCTTCAGAGGAGCCGCATGCTCTTCCCCTCGAAGCGCAACGAGGTCAGAGCCGCTTGAAACGTCCAGCATGTTGCAGGCAGAACCAGAACTAGCGGGGGCGGTGCTCCACAACCGCCCGATGTGGGTCAAACTGGGGAATTGTGGCGGGGGGGTCCTTCACCAGAGCAGCTCGGCACCCCTCTGCACGATGGGCACTGGCGGCAGCCCCGTGCCAGCACCGGGGGATGCCAGCAGGAGGAAGTCCAGGACGCAGAGTGCTCGCAGGGGGAGGAGGAGAAGGAGGAGGAGGAGGCGGAGGAGGACGAGGAGGAGAAGGAGAAAGAGGATGATGGTGGGGAGGAGGAGCAGGAGGAGGAGGAGGAGGAGGAGGAGGAGGAGCAAGTGGAGGAGGAGGAGGAGGAGGAGGAGGAGGAGCAAGAGGAGGAGGAGGGAGGAGGAGGAGGAGGAGAGAGGAGGAGGAGGAGGAGGAGGAGGAAGAGGAGGAGGAGGAGGAGGAGGAGGAGGAGGAGGGAGGAGGGAGGAGGGAGGAGGGAGGAGGAGGAGGAGGAGGGAGGAGGGAGGAGGGAGGAGGGAGGAGGGAGGAGGGGGAGGAGGGAGGAGGGAGGATCGGGGGGGGGGGCACCAGAAGAGAGCGGGCCAGGGAGCCACGCGCGCCTCGCCTGGCCTTTCGGCTCTCACCAGTTGGCGCCCAGGGTCAGGATGGCGTTGAAGATCGCGCTCGGGCACATCGCCCTCCGCACCTTCTCGGGGTCTGGCTGGTAGTAACCGCCGATGTCGACGGGCTTTCCTAGAAGACGAAAAAACTGCACAAGCATAAACTTTTGGCGCTCCGCGCGGATTTCTTGGATCTGCGCTGGACCCCCCTCCCTGGCGCGCGTAGCGCGCCACAGGCGGCGCCGGAGGCACCGCCTGGAAGGCCCACCGCGGACCCAAGAAAGCCGCGCGGAGCGCCCAAAGTTCATGTGTACGGCTTTTTTCTTCTCCGATTTCCCTGGCAACTGATCATTTCGTCAATGATGACGCTCTCGTTCGCCTCCAGCTCGGCCCTTATCCGCGTGAACTGCTTCGAGATGGCCTCGTCTGCGCTCTGCTCGGACAGCGCCTGCGCCCAGTACATCGCCAGGTAGAAGTGGCTCGCCCTGTTGTCGGGCTGGCCGCATTTGCGGCCAGGATTCTTGTTGGCGTCGAGGAACTTTTCGTTGGCCTTGTCCAGGCACTCGGCCAGCACCTAGAGGCCTCCCAAATGAGGTCCGAGTAGATGGGGTCGGAACATCGCGCCGCATCGCCGACGCATCGGCGAATCATCGGCAAAGTCGGCGATGCATCGGCGAAGTCGGCTCTTGGAGAACATCGGGCTCCACATCGAGCCGCATCTCGAGCCGCATCGCCGATGCATCGGCGATGCAGCGCGATCCTCCGATCCCATCTACTCCCACCCCCGACATCATGTGTCTCCCTAGTAAGACTTTGTCTAATGGTATCTTACCTGTTTTTGAAGAAGCCAGTGGGTGCGCGACCTGGTCGCGCCGGGGTTCCTCGAGGTTCTCTGGTCTTGCTTCATTACAAGGGGGTTCCTCGGGGTTCTCCTGTCTAGTTTCCTTGCAAGGGCCTTCCTCGGGAGTTCCCTGGTCCTGTTTCCTATAGACAAGTGCCTTGGGACCCCCGGCCTTGTTCCTTGCCCTCTTTCCTCGGGTTCCCCAGTCTCGTTGCGCGGGCTCCCTGGTCTTCCTCCTTGCTTGGGTTCCGCAGTGCTCCCCGCTCTTGTTCCTTTCTTGGATTCTTCGGGTGCCCCAGTCTTGTTCCTCGAGTTCCTCGGGTGCCCCAGCATTGTTCCTTGCTCGGGTACGTCGGGTCCCCCAGTCGTGTTCCTCGGGTTCCCCAGCAATGCCAAGCAGTGCCAATCCATGCCGAGCAGTGCAAACCAGCGCCAAGCAACATGCCCATGCAAAAAAAACTTTCCACCAATCCCACCAGCCCTCTGGGCTGAGTGGTCAAACGGAACTCCCTGCCACAACCCCTCCTTCCCCTGCTAAGGGGAATGGTTTATCACCGCTCCCTATTAATATACCCCCCCCAGGCGACCAGCAGCCAACCAAGAGCAATGCACATCCCATGCTCCCCACCCCCGAACAACCTCTGACAAAGAACAATACAAAACACACTCTGCCTCCGGATTCGGAGCCTGCACAACCAACTCGATGCGGGTCCCCCCCCCCGCCATCCTTTTCGAAAAACAATACAAAATACTCTTCGGGGCAAACTCTTGAGTCATGCTCGTGAGGCTTGCGTGCACTTTATATTGTTGTTTGACAGGGGCGGCGGGGGTGTCAGCATATTGCCCGCTGTGCGCAGGGCCACCAAACCCTGTCAACACAACAATGCAACATGCACCTCGCGGCTAAATCTGGATCATGCGCGGCCACCCCGCGATCACTGTCAAGTGGTTTGTGACAGGGGCGGCGGAGGTGGTGGCGCATGGCCTGCTGTGTGCAGGTCCACCAGACACCATGATGAGCACGGGCTTTCGACAAGGAGGGTGGGGGCCGACATGTTTCCCCATGGGCGCACCTGACACACTCTGGACGTTCCCCGAACGTGGTGCACCTGGCGCGGCTGGAGTATGCGGCGCACTCGGCGCACGCGGAGCACGTATAGCATCCAGCGCACCAGGCGTACCTGACACGCTCGGGCCCCAGAGATGCCTGGCAAGCGTGGCGCGCCTGGCACACGTGGCGCACCTCGCCCGAGCGTCGCGCACATGGGGTCGGCTTGGGTTCCCAGTACCGGCCCATCCAAACACGACCGCTGAACATGCTGAGGCTCGGTGCTACTGATGTGTTGGGAGGGCGGATGGGAATGAGCTAGACGGCTTGCTATCTAGGAGGGTGTCTCGATCGTTGTTCCTTATCCTTATTTCCTATAATTAAACACCCTCACATCCCCACCTAGCCGGCCGATAGCAACCCCGCCGCCCGAACTGTCAAAAAACCATACCAACTCAATTTTTTCCCCGCCAACATGTCGTCGATGTGTGAAGGAAGTAGCAAGAATGAGACGGAATGAACATCGCTTGGGTACCGGTAAACGGGTGGCCGCGTCCTACCCGTCAGAAAACAATATACAGTCAACGTTCTTTTCGTCAACATGGATTTTTTTATCGTCGACGATGCGAAAAGTGTAAGATGAATGGGACGCGGCGCACATCGCGCGCGGACGCCTGGCCAACCCTACGCGGGATCGCCCGTCCTACCGCTCAAAAAACACTGCAACGTCGACGTTTTTCTTGCCAACATGTACTTTCTCCTCGTCGGCGCTGCGAATCGCGCAGCGGGAATGGGACGCGTCACACATCGCCCCTAAGAGACCCAGGAGACCCCCAAGGGGTCGAAAAAAGGCGGCCAGGAGGTCCTGAGGGCAACGCAAATATTGATTCTCATTTGGTGTTTGAAGGATTGTGAGGTTAGCACCTACTCGCGTTGACAATATTCCAACCCGGAAGATATATCCAAGCGGCCTTCAGGCGTATACCAGAAAGCTCCCAGGACGCCCCGCGAATTCCCAAGAGGCATTCTCCTCTTCCTCCTGAGCTTATCCCTCCCCTCCTCTCTCCCTCCCCTCCTCCTCCTCCTCCTCCTCCTCCTCCTTCTCCTCCTCCTTCTCCTCCTCCTCCTCCTCCTTCTCCTCCTCCTCCTGCAAATTCTCCTCCTCCTCCTCCTCCTCCTCCTCCTCCTCCTCCTCCTCCTCCTCCTCCTCCTCCTCCTCCTCAGCCGCCGTTTCCTGCTCCAGCCCCATTCTTCGCGGCCCAGCAGGCAACCCACGCAGAGCAGCTTCCGCCCTCAGGGCACCCTTAATGTCATGCCAGCGCGGCTGGCCATCCATATTTCTTCTCTTGCGATCTTCTGGATGACATTCTTGCGGTGGGGTGTGTACAACCCGCTCAGCATGGTCGCGCCATTAAGAAGCATGGAGATTTCGAGACAGCTCAGCGCAGTCGACGTCGTCATGTTACCAGCCACTCGTTGGAGAAAGCACGACCCCACCAGCCCCGTCGACCAGCTCCAGACCTACAAGCACCGCATCTTCACGTGGGGATACGGCAGAGGCCCTCTCACCAACAATCACGCGGGCGTGGCCATCATGATCAGCAACTGCTACCGCATCAAGTGCGTGACTGAGCTCCCCAGCCCGCCGCCGAGCAGTCAAGGACGCGCAGGAGCAGTTCGCCTTCGTCGAGGAGAACTCGACATGACCTTCATTGTTGCGTACCTACCCCCACGGTCAGGGCTCGCCAAGCACCACAACGCCTGGGTCAAGACGGTCAACGAGACGCTCAAGTGGATCAACAAGACCCTGAACGAGACGCCCACCAGGAGCACGCCGATCATCGGCCTCGACCTGAACGACCACTACGGCCAGGACGGACTGCTTCCTGCCACGCCCAGCAACGTGATCGGCGACGCAGGCCTTACAGGAGTACCAGGAGAGGCAGCCGCTGCCTTCCACAACATGCTCGACGTGCACGGCATGTGCATCCTGAACACCTTCTGGAACGCGGGGCCCACGTACTTCGGAGCCCAAGGACAGGCCACACGCCCCGACTACATTGCAGTGCCTCAAGGACTATGTACCCACATTACTTCTTGCAGAGTCTGGTGGCGAGCGGCCAAGGCACTTCAACTCATCAATGACAACGTGCCGCGCGACCATGTCCCACTGATTGCAGCCGCCAACGTCATCATCCCGAACGTGTTCACAGATCTAAAGAGGACCGCCTGGGACTACGACAAGATGGCCCTGGCTCTGCAGCCGGGCAAGTACCGCAAGGAGTTCAATGACGCGCTGGAGTTCAATTTCGGCAAGCACCAGGACAAGCTGAAGGAGTTGGCAGGGGACAACACAGCGGACGAACACTGGGAGCTCATCGTGAACATCATGAAGGAGGCAGCCAAGCCCTTTCTTCGAGCGCCAGAAGTCCAAGCCCGACCAGTACTACCAGCTCATGGAGGAACGTTTGCGGCTACTTCAGGAGCGCGCCAAGCTCAGAGAGGAGTACATCGGGACCGACCCCAACTACGAGATCGAGTACCAGATCGAGGTCCTCTCACGTGCCCTCAAGAAGCAGAAGCGCCAGCACGAAGCCGAACGAAGACAACACTTAGAGGAGCGTATTTACGAGGCTTGGCAACGACGAGAACACGCTGAAGTACATCAACTGTCTCGACTCCTGGCCGGCACCAACTACGGCAAGCGCAACCGCAACTACAGCCGCGCGACCAGAGCACGCCCCAGCTTGCAGGAGTGGGCAGATCACATTGCACAAGACGGCCAGCACGGAGGGTTCAGAGCTCACCAGATCGACCTCGAAGAGGAGAAGCGCATCTTGAAAGAGACCACCTACGAGCGCACCACCGAGCACAACCTACAAATTCGCCAGGAATACGAGGACGCCAAGGACGGCATCAAGCGAGCACTCTACGGCGTCACCAAGCGGCTCAAGTACGTCAAGAAGCGCGCCTCCGTGCCAGACTGGCCACTGCCCGCCGAGATCATCCAGGTGACCCTCCAGCCCACCAACATCGCCAAGCAGAAGTCGAAGACGACAGGCGTGGGCTACGATGACGAGCTCGCTGAGGCACCCCTCGCGCAGGAGAGCTTCGAGTCAGTCCTCAACCACGTGTACCGCGTCGGCTTCGCCCCACTCAACGCCCACCACAGCCAGAGCTTCACCCTCGACAAGAAGAACGGCAAGCCCAAGGTCCTCGGCTTGCGCATACTCCACATGCTGTGCCCCTTCTGGCGCTGCTTCTACAGACAGCTTCAGTGCAAGTCCAAGCCGTGGTCACCTCCACCTCATGCCCACGGCTGCTGGCCTCATCGGCGTCGCGAAGTCCCCATGGCAGCCTCCCGCATCGTCGCCTACCGCCTGCAGCGGGCCAAGGCAGACTTCATCGTCGGCAGCAAGGACGCCACCAACGCCTTCCCCAGCACCAAGATCGACAAGGCCATCAACACCATCCCGACCGCCCTCAGCGTAACAGAACAACGTCTATTTCAACAACGCCACCAGTGCGCCAGCGTCCAGATCGACGGGTTCGACTCCACAGGCGACTTCGACATCGGATCGAGGGTCGCGCCAGGTTGCAGCACAGGACCGACATCCTTCAACTTCGTTCACGAGCAACCAGTGGGGCAATGGCTCGAGGAGACCCCGCAGGACACCGCCCCCTTCGCGGCCGTGTCACCCATTACGCACGCCCTGCTCGACCTTTCCGCCTACCTGTACGTCGACGACATCTTCAAGCTGCACCTTGTCCCATCGGGCGCTGCGCGGGGCGCCGCCTCGGCCCTCGCCAACAGCAACACCATCCTCGATCAGTGCCTTGCCGAGCACGGGTTCCACCAGAACAGGGACAAGGAGGAGATCGTTGGAGGCCTTCGCACGCGGAGGGAGAACCGAGCCCTAGCAGATCAAGTCCAAGGGCGAGTCCTTCGCACCCTTAAGTACCTGGGCGGCCACTTCCACCACGCCGGCAGCAACGCCATCCAGATTGACATGCGCATCCAGAGCATCAAGCGAGCCTGGCACATCATGGGCAAGTTCTGGCATCGCAAAGTACCGTGGCGCCTCAAACGTCTCATCTTCATTAACAGGGCGATCGGTGCCGCAGCCAGCGGCATGGAATCCTACCTCCTCAAGGACACCGAATACAAGCGCCTCGACGCCGTCATTGCCACCTACATGCGCGTACTCATGCAAGGCAAAGCCACCAACATCGACGAAGCGGGCACCTACCGCACCATGGCCAACAGCGAAGTGTTCAAGCACTGCCACATCTCCCCGGTGTACTTCGAGCTGCGAGCGAGGAGGCTGCGCGTGATACAGGCCTCTGTCAAGTACCCGCCAGATTACGATCAGTGGATCACGGCACTCTTCGGCTCCATCCAGTACGAGAACGACTACAATCGTGAGCACATCGGAGAGCTAGACGACAATGGCCACCTCATCGCGGACGCGAACCCCATGGCGAAACAGTACTACAACGACGTCCTCTCCATTCTCGAGTTAGACAGCGCCGAGGAGTTCAGCTACGCATGGGACGGGGGCATCAGTCAACTGTATCACGACGCAGAAGTTGCAGCGGCTTTCATCAAGATCGGCGCGGCAGAGCTCAGAACCAGGGCACCAGCAGTAGCGATTCCACCACCTGGTTTCGAACCTCAACCACACGAACAAGACCAACGAGCAGGAGACGAACTGGGTTACTACAAGTGTGACCTGTTAACGGACGCGGAACAAGTCTGCGGCCGAGTTTTTTCATCATGGACAGCGCTCTGTACACATCCGACCGCGACACAAGGAGGAGAGCATGGGCTTCGATCAGCAGCTGCAGCAGTCACCATCACCAATCAGTGTCCGCTCTGTCGTACCACGTTTCTCGATCGAGCCCAAGCCGAAAATCATATGTTGCGATCTCTCAAACACAAGCGCTGCATTGCCGACAACAGCAGGCTTCCTTACCCGCTGACAACGATCGAGAACCCAGTCTGTCTTCTCTGTCCACATCTGCATCCGTTTGCACATCTCTCAAGCTTCCAGGACCACGTTTGCGCGAGTCACCTCCCCACCGAAGAGCACGAGATCTCGCTAGACACCGGCCTCTGCCAGGATGACTTGGTGCGTGCCAAACGAGAAGGACATCGAGGAGGTGGCGAGCAGCATGGCGGATGCGGAACGTTCCAGCAAGCAGCGCAAGACTACGCACCCCAAGGGCAAGGGCGGCCACCACAAGAAAGGCGCAAAGGCAGAGGGAAAGGACGCGGACGGGGACGCCAACATGCAGGACAAGGAAGAGGAAGAGCAGCAGGGCGTGACAAGCCCAGCAGCAGCCGCAGCTTCAGGACAGCAAGTACGACGCCAACAACGAGGAGGAGAAGCCCACCAGACCAAGTGCGACCCCAAGCTGAAGAAGTTGCTCACGGTGCTGACCAAGCAAATGCTGGCCAACACGCAACAGATCGCCTGGGTCGTTTCCGCGGTCTACAGCACGTACCTGATGCCGAGTCAGACCAAGATGATCAAGGCGCTCCGAGCCTGCAGGGAGATCTACGCGGACAAGTGCAAGGAGGCGGGCAAGGGACATTCGCTGGGACCACCAGAAGGACACCTCTACGTCACGCTTATTTCGACCCTCTGCTCCGAGGACGTGGGCGCCAAGACCAGGAGCATTCTCACAGAGCACGGGAAGTTCGTGGACCAGGGCAGTGCTGCGACAGTCCTCAACAAGGTGAAGCACTTGAAGATCAGCAAGTGCTACGACAGCAACCAGGCGAATATCACACTGTATATCGAGCAGGGGCCCTGGACCGACGCGGAGGCCGAGGAGGATCCTTCAGAGGAGCAGAAGCAGCAGAGCAACATCAAGGACAGCAACCACAGAGCGCTGATCCAAACGGGAGCCACGGTGAAGACGGGCAAACCACCAGCGGGAGTCATGGAGGATGAGCTAGCTGCGTGGTTGGCAGGGCTATGACTATGAGAAAATGGATGGCCGACTCGACTACGCCTCGTTCGGCAAGGTGATCGGCGTGCGTGGCGCTGTGATCACGATGAAGGTGCCGCTCTGAGCGGCGACGGCGGGGGCCCATCCATGCGGCTGATTGCACTGCTCCGCCCCCCTATGCCGCTCTATCTATCTACCTCCTCCTCCTCCTCCTCCTCCTCCGCCTCCTCCTCCTCCTCCTCCTCCTCCTCCTCCTCCTCCTCCTCCTCCTCCTCCTCCTCCTCCCCCTCCTCCATGCGCGGCAGGAGCGAAACGATTTGCGGTGCAACACGCGTGGCTGGAATAAGACGCGGCGCACTTCGCGCGCTGGACATGTCGTCGCCGACAATGCAACATGATAGGCTGGAGCGGGGCGCGGCGTACATCGCGTGCGCTTTTGTTTGTCGTCGACGGGGCCCAATACGTGGCAAGAATAAGACGCAGCTCGTGTCGCGCGCTGCACGTCTAGCCGCCCACGATATAATATGAGCGACAAGCGTCGGACGCGACGCATTTGCTTCTTATGTTGTGGGAGGGCGGGTGGGAGTGCACGGAACCCTCTGGCTCGCTCGAACTGGCTAACTTGATTAATATACACCCCTTCCCCCACCCGGCCGGCATCCAATCCGGAACAATGAGGACCCCATGATGGCCACCAAAGCATCCCTGTCAAAAACAATACATAACGCAATCTGCCTCCACATTTGGAGCATGCGCAGCCGCCCCGCGACCACTTCGTACTGATATGTTACAGGGGCGGCTGTGGTGCCAGCTGATCCCACCTGCCATCTGGGCACAGGTGGTCGACCGACTGGTTTAACAAATGAATGGCTGCTGCCTTCTCGCCTTGGCCTTTTCCGATGGGCTTCCGGAACCTTGGTTCCTAGCGAGGCTGCTGCAGTGTCTGCAGTGCCCAGAAGCGCCCGATCCCCGAAACCTCTGCCATGGGCGCGTCGCCTGCAGTTGAACCCAGAAACAGCACGGCGGGAGTGTGAATGCCCTGGCGTGCATTTTGCATTGCGTTTCGACGAGGATGGTTCGGTGCACACCGCTTGGTTGGCGTGTCAGGCCACGCGCCTTCCCGCACGTCTGTTTCTTCTTTGCGGATGGGGGGAGGGGGGCCGCGCGCCGTGGCCAGCAACCACAAGCATGCGCTGGGGCGTGCGCAGTGGCTGGCGCAGCAACAGTTGTGGCGCACGCAGGTGGAGCCCCTGTTGGTTCCCAGTGGCTGGCGCACCTGGCGCGGCCGGAGCACGTGGAACACTGGGCGCACGTGGAGCACGTGCGGCATCTGGCGTGCCTGGCACGCTTGGGCCTCAAGGGTGTCTGGTGCATCTGGAACCCGTGGCTTCTGCGGCGTTCGCACGCGATGTGCTGACACCCGGGTGTTACTTATGTGTTGGGAGGGCGGGGGGGGAGTGAGCAAGACGGCTTGCGGGCGGGTGGGTCGCTTGACCCCTGCCCCCTCCCCTGGGCCTGGGAGGGGGGGGGGCCGAGCCCGCAGACTGCCCAAGATAGCCCAAAATGGCTCCGAGGGGGCCCTCGACAGCCCAAGACGGGTCAAACAGGGCTCAAGATACCTCAAACATCGCGTAAGATAGCCTCCGACATGCCTCCAAGACGGCCCAGGACAGCCCCAAGAGGGTTCCGAGTGCTCCTCGAGCCTCTGAGGCACCCCCCCCAATAGGCCATAAATCCTTCAAACGCCTTAAGAAAATCAAAGTGTTGGGGCTTCTCGCTTTTTCGTTTCCGATGAACATCTTGGCCCTCGTGATGGCCACAAGATGGGCCCGAGACTGCCCCAAGACGGCCCCAAGACGGCCCCGAGAGCGCCCAAGAGGCGCCCAAGACCGGCCCAAGGGGCCCCAAGGAGGCCATCTTGGAGCCTCCTGGGGAGGGGCCTAATTTGGTTACGTGCCCCCCTATTCTGGTCGATCTCCTCCAAGATGGCCCCACGAGGGCTGACAGGGGAGCCCAGCACCACCAGGTAGGCGCCCAGCATCACCAGGGAGGCCCTCAAGAGGCCCCCCCGAGAGGCCAAAGAGGCTCCAGGAGGCTCCTCCTGGGCAGGTCAGCATTTGTCGAAGAGGACCCCAAGACTACCCCCCATAGAGTCAAAACGGTGCCAGGTCGACCTGTTCAACCTACCTTTTGACAAGTCATACAAAAAATGTTCCCGCCCTCCCCGCACCCCCGAAAGGCATCCAAGGCGGCAGTCGCACTGTATGCTTCTACGCTGCCCTCATCAAGGCAACTCACTTGGCGATCGTACCTAGATGGGCTGGTGGGGTTACGTTTTCTAATACGCGGGCTCGCGAAGCAGGTCGAACTGGTGGGGACACTTTTCCGCTCGCGAGCGCAAGCGGTACGGCCGCGCGCCGTCGCAAGGGTCAAACAGGCCTAAAGCAGCGGCTGAAGACAGAAGCAGGCTCATTTTCATACCGTGGACCCGAGAGGTCTGGACCCCTTCATGGTGACCAGCTTTTCACCTCGAGTCGATTGTGACTGTCTCCAGGCTCGGCGAGAGCCTCTGGAGGCCGAACAAAAACTAAAAACCTTCCGTCGTGATTTTGTCACGACGCGAGGGGTCTGGGCTCGGACCTCGTTTGTGAGGCCTGAGGCGCCTTCGCCTTCGGGTTCTTGGTCTTGGCGGCGAGGTCCTCCAGCGACACCGCCAAGGCGAGGTACTCGCCCAGGGAGTCCCAGCGCAGGTGGTTCTCCTCAGGAGAAGAACAACGGTATGACCATGCACTTTCGGAGGTCCGCGTGGATTTCTTGGATCGGTCCAGCGCCGATCCAATAAAGCGAACGTTTTTTTCTTCGGCGTTTCGACACTGGGCGAAAGGGAGGGGAAGGGGGGGATCTGGCTCTGGGCCTCCGCTTAGTGCGACTGTTTGGGACCGTGCGTCCTGTGAGGGAGGCTCCACCTGCCTGGACCAGGCGCCAACAAAACAGCCAAGATCTACTCTATTGGGGGGGGAGGGGGGGGGCGAGGGCCCGCGCCGATCGGCAAAACAACGAATAAGAAAACGATCACAAAATCCGCGCAGAGCTCAGGCTGCTTGTGCTCGTGTAGCTTGTTCTTCCTCGATCCTCGACAAACTGTTGCACGTGCTTCGGCGCCGAGCCCCCCGCGCCGGTCTCGTACATGCCGCCGCCCGCGAGCATGGGCACTATCGACAGCATCTTCGCGCTGGTGCCCAGCTCCTGAGGGGGAACGAGCGGAGGGACAAAAAGGCAGCGACTCCTGCTCCTCCTCCTCCTCCTCTTCCTCCTCCTCCTCTTCCTCCTCCTCCTCCTCCTCCTCCTCCTCTTCCTCCTACCGCTGCGCCCAAGACCCTCGAGAGGTGCAATCTGGCCAGAGATCTGAGGCGAATCCCGCTCTGGCGACGAGGAAAGGCTAGCAGTATCGACATAGTTTCCCCTTCTGAGCTCCTTCGCGAAGCCGAGAGGAGGAGGAGGAGGAGGAGGAGGAGGAGGAGGAGGCGGAGGAGGAGGCCGCAGATGGGGCGCTTTTCCGCACGTCGGGGGGGGGGGTCAAGCTCAGGGGGGGAGGGGGAAGGGAACATCGATCTGGAATCGATGATACATCGCCGATAGATCTGCGATGGGCCCCGATAGCGAACCCGCGCCTTCACGGGAGGGGTGGGCGATCGGGCCCCCTATGGGCGATTGGGGGTCCACGCGCCCCCCGCCGAGCCTGTCCCATTCCTGCGCGCCGCCGTAGGACCTGCCGCAGGAGGAGGAGGCGAAGCAGGGGGAGGAGGAGGAGGAGCGGGGGGAAGAGGAGGAGGAGGAGGTGGAGGAGGAGGTGGAGGAGGAAGAGGAGGAAGAGGAGGAGGAGGAGGAGGACGAGGACGAGGACAAGGAGGAGGAGGAGGACGAGGACGAGGACGAGTTGCCCCTGAGCTCCAGGATCGGGAATAGGTCGGTGTTGTAGTCGCGGAGGACGTTCCCCGTGACAGAGATGGAGTCCAGGCCCTTCCTGGCGCGCTCGACGGAGACGCGGCACGCCTCCGCGGGCGGCAGGATCTCGATGTCGAGGCCGCTGGTGTCGTGCTGAGGGAGGTACTTCTTGACCTTCTCTATGATGTTCTTGTCGTGTGCGCGCATCTCGTCCAGCCAGAAGATGACCTTGGCGCCAGTGGCGCGTCCACGGACCACTGCCAATTTCACCCAATCCTCTGGGGGGACAAGCAAGTATCGATACCGCCACTCCGCCTTTCCCGTGGTGCGCTCTGGCCAAGATTTCGGGGCAATTCTAGCCAGGAGCCCCCAAAAAACGAAAAACGAGGGTTACGGTATCAGCGCCTTTTCCTCTAAGTTTCACCCAGTCCTGGATCGGGATGTCCCTCGTCTGGCACATGCGCCAGACGTCGCCTTCCGCGACCACGTGGCTGAGCAGGACCTCGCCAGACCCCGAGTCCACGACCCGGATGGTGCCAGGCTTCTGGATCACGAAGGTCTTGTCGTGAGACCCGTACTCCTCCGCCTTCTGTGCCATCAGCCCAACGTTTGGCACCGAGCCCATGGTGGCAGGGTCGAACTGCCCATTCTTCTTGCAGTCCTCGATCACCACGTCGAAGACGCTGGCGTAGCAGCGGTCAGGGATGCAGGCCTTGCAGTCCTTGAGCTTGTTCCCCGGCGTCCACATCTGCCCACCTTCGCGGATCATGGCAGGCATAGAGGCGTCGATGATGATGTCGCTGGGCACATGGAGGTTCGTGATGCCCTTGTCCGAGTCGACCATGGCCAGCTCCGGCCGGCTCTTGAAGACGGCCTGAATGTCAGCCTCGATGGCACTCCGTTCCGGCTCGGGGAGGGTGGCCACCTTCGACACGATGTCGCCCCAGCCGTTGTTCGGGTTCGCGCCCAGGCGCTCCAGGGTCGGGCCGTGCTTCTGGAACACCTCGTCGAAGTACTCGAGGACCATGTGGCCGAACAGGACCGGATCCGAAATCTTCATCATGGTCGCCTTCAGATGGAGCGAGAGGAGGACATCCTTTTTCTTGGCGTCCTCGATCTGCGCCTTGTAGAAAGACCTCAGGCACATCTTGCTCATGTAGGAGGCGTCGATCACCTCGCCCGGGAGCAGCGTGGTCTTGGGCTTCAGCACGGTCGTGGTCCCGTCGTTCGCCGCAAGCTCGATCCGGACCTCTGTGGCATCCGTGGTCACGTACGACTTCTCGCTGGCGTAGAAGTCGCCCTCGGTCATGTGCGACACGTGCGTCTTGCTGTCTGGGCTCCACTTGCCCATTTTGTGAGGGTGCTTCTTGGCGTAGTTCTTGACCGGAACAGCGGCCCTGCGGTCCGAATTCCCCTCGCGCAGCACTGGGTTCACCGCGCTACCCAGCACCTTGGCGTACCTCGCCTTGATCCCCTTCTCCTCGTCATTCTTCGGATCGTCGGGATAGTTGGGCAGAGTGTAGCCCTTCGCCTGAAGCTCTGCGATGCAGGCCTTCAGCTGCGGGATGGAGGCGCTGATGTTGGGCAACTTCACAATGTTGGCCGCCGGCGATTTGGCCAGGTCCCCGAGCGCGGACAGCTCGTCGTCCTGGCGCATGTTCTCGGGCAACTTATCCTGAAAGGAAGCAATCACGCGGCCGGCGACAGAGATATCCCGGAGCTCGACGTTGATGCCAGCCTTCTGCGTGAAGGCGCGAATGATGGGCAGCAGAGCGTAAGTGGCCAGCATCGGCGCCTCGTCAGTGAGCGTGTACATGACGGCCGTGCCGGCCATCACTTTCTCCTGCAGCACCTCCGCGATGCAGTCTACCATCTCTCTGGAGTTCAGGAACTCCCCACCATCCTTGCCGCCCGCTCCAGCGACGACCAGGTCCTTCGTGACCTTGCCCTTGTCCACAGTCTCCACGGCGGCTGCCTCCAGCTTGCTCGCGAAGTCCGCGAGCTTCGCGTTGTCGTCCAACTTGGCGCGATGCTGCAGGCCGCGGATCCACGCGAAGATGTCCATCATAGGGTTGATGGCAGGCTGACCACGGTGCACCGTGGTGCCGCCTGTCGTGGCGGAGCGGGCCGACTCGGCCAGCAGCGTCTTGCCGTCGGCGCCCAGCACAACTGAGGTCATGAGATCCCTGGACCCGAAGCCCTGCGCCACCATCTCGCTCTGGACGTCGCCGTCGTAGTTCTTCAGTGCCCATATGAACCCTCCTTCCGAGCTGAGCGCGAAGGCCACCATCTTGTCGATGGGCATGTAGGAGAACCAGATGCCGGCCTTGTCGAACTTTGCCTTGTATTCCTTGTCGAAGATTTCCGAGAAGATCCGGACAAAAGCACCGTCGTACTCCCTGAGCATGACATCCTTGGCGCTGAGGTAGACAGGAAAAGTGATGCTCAGTGCATGCTGGAAGCAGGCGTGGGCGAAGCCGCTGATCTTATCGTCGGAGTTGTACATGGCCATCGCGACACCTCCAGAGTCGCCAAAATCGCAGACGTCGTATGACCTGGCCTTGTTGCCATCTTCGGGGGTAATAACGATCTGATACTTGCTTCGCTTCTCCACGACAATGTCGGTCGCCCTGTACTGGTCCCCGAAAACGTGACGCGCGATCACAATCGGCTTCTTCCAGTTTGAAACAGTTCTTGGGATGCTGGACGTGAGAATGGGTGAGCGGAAGTTCGAGCCAGAAATGTACGACCTGAGAGTGGATGCGGCAGGACGAAGAGCTCGCTCGCGATCAAACACATCCGCAGTCTTCCACTTCCCCTTCAACTGCTTTTCGTTGACCAGCGCTTCCGATATCTCCATGGTGGCGCACTTAATTCCCACGTGATCCGCAACCGTTCCCTCGGCACATTGGGGCGAGTTAGAACGGTCACCATCTGTTGTCTGCCAAGGTCGTTTCGACCCCCCCTCTCGTAGTAGGCACCCTTCGGAATTCCGGCCTTCTGCCTTTGCTATCTGGCCCCAATGTTGGCATCCAAAAGGTTCCCAGACAAGTGAGATGATCCGAGACGGCCTCACGATGCCTCCGAGCGGGTCCAACATGCCTCGAAGACGGCCCATATTGCTCCAAGACGGCCCGAGAGGCCCATGACACAGGCCAAGAGAGTTCCAAGAGGCCCTGCAGGCGGGCCCAAACAAACTGAACCATGTACTTCCTTGTCTGCTTCAATGCTGCTCGCGTTCCTGCTCTTTCGGGCTTCCCACAGCCTGCGACAGCCCAAATGCCTCCCAAACAAACCGAGAAGGCCCCAAGACGGCCCACGAGGTCCCCAGGACGGCCGCAAGAGGGACCAAAGACGGCTCACGAGACCACCAAGATGGCCCGATCAAGAAGACCCCAAGACAGCCCCGAGAGGCCCCCAAAACAGCCTCCGAACGCGTCAGACGGGCCACAGGGAACCATAGGACGGGCCCCGATAGAGAGCAAAAGAGGGCTTCAGGCCCTCAAGGAGGGCCCGAAGAGGCCAAAATCATTGACCCCTTTGAGTTCCCAAACATCCTGTTGTATTGGGTCCTCGTGTTGAAGAGACGGCGTCCCGCGTTCTTTTCCTCCCGCCTCCTTCCTCCCTACTCCTCCTCCTCCTCCTCCTCCTCCTCCTCCTCCTCCTCCTCCTCCTCCTCCTCCCTACTCCCTGCGCTTCACCCACCCAGTAAAGCGTCTCGTGGCCCCAAAAGGAGCTCCACCGAAGCCCTTAGTGGGACCGCCCGCATGCGTCAGTCACCACCCAGCACAACGTTTCGTGGCTCCACAAAAGGGGCTCCACCGAAGGCCCCAGTGGCAACGCCCGCATGCGTCAGCCACCACAGAGTACAGCGCTTCGTAGCCCCATAGGGGGTTCAACCGAAGGCCTCGGTGGGACCGCCCGCATGCGTCAGCCACTACCCAGCAAAGCGTTTCGTGGTTCCTTGAGCGGCCCCACCGAAGGTCCGAATGGCACCACCCGCATGCGTCAGCCACCACCCAGCACACCGTTTCGCGGCCTCATAAGGGTGCTCCACCGAAGGCCCCAGTGGCACCGCCCGCATGCATCACACCACCCAGTACAGCGCTTCGTGGCCCCATTGGGAGCTCCACCGAAGGCCCCACTGGCGCCGCCCGCATGTTTCAGCCACCACGCAGTACAACGCTTCGTGGGCCCATGGGGAGCTCCACCGAAGGTCCCACTGGCACCGCCCCAATGCGCCAGCCACCACCCAATACAGCGCTCCGTGGCCCCATAGGGACCCATCGAAGGTCCCAGTGGGATTGCCCGCATGCGTCAGCTGCCACCACCCAGCACGGCGCTTCGTGGCTCCATAAGGAGCTCCACCGAAGGCCTCCATGGCCTCGCCCGCACGCGCCAGCCACCACCCAGTACAGCGTTTCGTGGGCCCATGGGGAGCCCCGCCGAAGGTCCCACTGGGACCGCCCGCGTGCGTCAGCCTCTACTCAATACAGCGCTTCGTGGCCCCAAGGGGGGGGCCACCGAAGGTCCCAGTGGGACCGCCCGCATGCGTCAGCCACCACCCAGCACAGCGTTTCGTGGTCCTATAGGGGGGCTCCACCGAAGGCCTCAGTGGGATCGCCCGCATGCGTCAGCCACTACCCGGTACAGCGTTTCGTGGCGCCCGCATGCGTCAGCCACCACCCAGTACAGCGTTTCGTGGCCTCGTAGGGAGCTCCACATCTGTGGCACCGCCCGCGTGCGTCGTCCACCACCCTGCGTTTCGCGGCCTCATTGATTGGGAGCTCCACTGAAGGTCCCAGTGAGGCCGCCCGCCCAGTGCAGCGTTTCGGGGGCCCAAAGGGAGCTCCACCGAAGGCCCCAATGGCACCGCCCGCATGCGAGCCCCCCTCCCGTGGCCCCATACGTAGGGGCTTCACCGAAAGACTCCAGTGGCACCGCCCGCATGCGTCAGCCACCACCCAGCAGATCGCTTCGTGGCCCCATTTGGAGCTCCACCGAATGTCCTAATGGCACCGCCCGCATGCGCCAGCCACCACCCAGCACAGCGCTTCATGGCCCCATAAAGGGGCTCCACATACACCGAAGGCCCCAGTGGCACCGCCCGCATGCGTCAGCCACCACCCAGCACAGCGTTTCGTGCCCCCGTAAGGGGCTCCACAGAAACACCATCGTGGCACCGCCCGCGTGCGTCGTCCACCACCCAGTACTGCGCTTCGTGGCCCCATTGATTGGGAGCTCCACAGAAGGTTCCCAATGGCACCGCCCGCATGCGTCCCCCCCACCCAGCACAGCGTTTCGTGGCCCTGTAGGGAGCTCTAGTGGCCCGCCCGCATGCGACCCCCCACCCAGTGCACCGCTTCGTGTGCCCATAGGGCAATGGAGCCGCCCGCATGCGTCGTCCACCGCCCAATACTGCGTTTCGTGGCCCCGTAGGGAGCTCTGGTGGCCCGCCCGCATGCGACCCCCGCCCAGTGCAACGTTTCGCGGGCCCATAGGGAGCTCCACCAAGAGCCCCAACGGCACCGCCCGCATGCGCCCCCCCCCCCGTGGCCCCACAAGGCGCTCCACTGAAGGCCCCAGTGGCGCCGCCCGCATGCGTCGGCCACCACCCGGCACAACGCTTCGTGGCCCCATAAGGAGCTCCACAGAAAGACCGCAGCGGCACCGCCCGCATGCCCCCCCACCCAACCCCACCCGGCACATGGCCCCATACGGGGGCTCCAGCGAGGGGCACCGCCCGCATGCGTCAGCCACGCCAAGTACAGCGCTTCGTGGCCCATAGGGAGCCCCACCGATGGCCCCAGTGGCATCGCCCGCATGCGTCTCCCCCACCCAGCACGGCACGCCCCCCACGCGCTTCGTGGCCCCATAGGGAGCTCCACCGAGAGCGGCACCTTCAATCGCCAGGATACTTGTTTAATGATTTGTTTCACGCGCCCGTCTCTGGGCGAGAGCCCACGACAGCTCCAGAGGCCTCGAAGACTGTCCACGAGGTCAGAGGCCCCCAAGATGGCCTACTGTTGAAGCGGTTAATATTACAGTAATAATTCCCTGAACAATTTTTCCGGTAATGTAATGGGCGTGCGTGACTTTCTGGTTGGATTTGTTTGTTCAGGAAGGTGGGTGGATTCTAGAAGGGAATTAACAGGAGTTGGGGAGGATTTGGGAATTGGGGGGGTTACAAAGGAAAGAGCAGGAGCTGGGAAGTTGGGACCCGGGGATGATTCTACAAAGGAAAGAGCAGGAGTTGGGGGGGATTCTGGAATTGGGGAGGATTCTACAAAAGGAAAAAAGGAGGAGTTGGGGAGGATTTGGGAATTGGGGAGGACTCTACAAAGGAAAAGGAGGAGTTGGGGAGGATTTGGGAATGGGGGGGGGTTCTACAAAGGAAAAAGGAGGAGTTGGGGAGGATTTGGGAATTGGGGAGGATTCTACAAACGAAAAAGGAAGGGTTGGGGAGGATTTGGGAATTGGGGAGGATTCTACAAAGGAAAAAGGATGAGTTTGGGGGGGGATTTTGGAATTGGAAATGATTCTACAAAGGAAAAAAGTAGAGTTGGGGAGGAATTTGGAATTGGGGAGGATTCTACAAAGCAAAAAAGAGGAGTTGTAGAGGATTTGGGTATTGGGGGGAAGGGGGGCTTCTACAAAAGAAAAAGGAGGAGTTGGGGAGGATTTTGGAATTGGAAAGGAATCTACAAAGGAAAAAGGAGGAGTTGGGGAGGATTTTGGAATTGGGGAGGATTCTACTCAGGAAAAAAAAGAGCTGGGGAGGATTGAGGAATTGGGGATGATTCTACAAAGGAAAAAGACCGAGTTGGGGAGGATTTGGGAATTGGGGTGGATTCTACAAAGGAAAAAGGAGGAGTTGGGAAGGATTTCTGGCATTGGGGAGGATTCTACAAAGGAAACATGATGAGTTGGGGAGGATTTGGGAATTGGGAAGGATTCCACAAAGGAAAAAGGAGGAGTTGGGGAGGATTTGGGACTTGGGGAGGATTCTACAAAGGAAAAAAGATGGAGTTGGGGAGGATTTGGGAATTGGGGAGGATTCCACAGGAAAAAAAGAGGAGTTTGGGGGGGATTTGGGAACTGGGGAGGTTTCTACAAAGGAAAAAGGAAGAGTTCGGGAGGATTTGGGACTTGGGAGTATTCTACAACGGAAAAAGAAGCTGGGGAGGATTTGGGAATTGGGGAGGATTCTACAAACGAAAAAGGAAGAGTTGGGGAGGATTTGGGAATTGGGGTGGATTCTACACAGGAAAAAGGAAGAGTTGGGGAGGATTTGGGAATTGAGGAGGATTCTACAAAGGAAAAAGGAGGAGTTGGGGAGGATTTGGTAATTGGGGAGGATTCTACAAAAGAGAAAGGAGAAGTTGGGGATGCTTTGGGAATTGGGGAGGATTCTACACAGGAAAAAGGATGAGTTGGGGAGGATTTGGGAATTGGGGAGGGTTCTACAAAGGAGAACGGGGAGTTGGGGAGGATTTGGGAATTGGGGAGCGTTCTACAAAGGAACAAGGAGGAGTTGGGGAAGATTTGGGAATTGGGGCGGATTCTACAGAAAGGAAAAAGGATGAGTTGGGGCGGATTTGGGAACGGGGTGGGTTCTACAAAGGAAAAAAGAGGAGTCGGGGAGGATTTGGGAATTGGGGAGGATTCTACACCAGAGAAAGAAGGAGTTGGGGAGGATTTTGAAATTCGGGAGGATTCTACAAAAGGAAAAAGGATGAGTTGAGGGGATTCTTTGGGAATTGGGGAGGATTCTACAAAGGAAAAATGATGAGTTGGGGAGGATTTGGGGATTGGGGAGGATTCTACAAAGGAAAAAGGAACAGTTGGGGAGGATTTTGG